GGCCAAAACCTTAACATTTGTAAGGAGGTCACAGATGAGGAAATTTTCTAGACAATCTATAAAACACCTCAAAGCCTTCTTTCATTCTGGGAAGCTATGCCCAATTTTAAACAAAACGTTTATTGTTCTAAACCCAAAAAATAAAAACTTTGAAAATGTTAACCATTATAGGCCAATAAGCCTATGTAGTGTCATTTATAAAATTATATCCAAAATTTTGGTTAACAGAATTAAACCTTTTTCGGATAAAATTGTTCCTCATACCAAAGCACTTTTGTCCCAAATAGACAAATAAATGATAATATCCTTATAGTGCATAAGATGATTCACTCCATGAAAAAGAAAAAGGGCTACTCTAGCATGTTGGTTTGCAAGGTTGACATGGAAAAAGCCTATGATAGGATAGAATGGGATTTCATTGAGAAAATCCTATCAAAATTTGGATTCCATGAAAAATGGGTTGGTGGGTGATGGAATGCATAAAATATGTTTCATACCAAATTCTAATTAATGGGAGCCCATCTAAGGAATTCTCTCCATCTAGGGGTATTAGACAAGGAGACCCCCTCTCCCCTGCATTTTTGTTTTATGTATTGAAGCACTTCCGAAAAATGTGAGAATGAATCTTTGGAGAAAGGCAACTCCATTGGGTGCAAAACCTCAAAGAAGGGACCCAAGATTCATATTCTACAGTTTGTAGATGATTACCTTATTTTTATAGAAACGTATATCCCTACATGCCTAAAAATTAAAGAGATCCTTTCAGATTTTGCCAAGGCATCAGGTCAATGCCCAAATCTTGCTAAATCTACGGTGCACTTCTCAAAGAACATTCCCAAAAGACTCCAAAAAATTTTGGCTAGGGTGTTAAGTATCCCATCCAAGATAATAAGGGTTCCTATCTAGGAGCTCCTATAATAAATGGGAGAGTATCAAAGAAAACTTTTGAGGACTTAAAGGAGAAAATTAACAGAAAATTAAATGGGTGGAAAAAGAACACCCTTTCTATGGTGGGTAGACTTGCCTTCATAAATGTCGTGACTAATACAATGCCCCAATTTATCATGTGATCTTTCAAGCTCCCAAAAAACATAATAATAGATATTGAAAGATCTCAAAAAAATTTCCTTTGGACCAATTCAAATGATAAAAAGCCGATTCACCTCATCAATTGGAATCGGGTTTGTACCCCTAAAATGAGGGGTGGGATGGGATTAAAGAACTTAAGTTGGGCTAATGAAGCAAATTTGGCTAAGCTTGGATGGAAAAATCTAAATGATGAGAACAATCTATGGGTCAAAGTGATTAAGGGTAAATATCTGAATAAAGAAGAATTTTGGTATAGTAAGAAGAAAAAAAAAGGAATTTCATGGGCTTGGAGAAAAATCTTAAAAGCAATGGAATTACTTAAAAAGGGCATAGGAAATGGAAATTCAGTAAGATTCTAGAAAGATAATTGGATGGATGATAGGCCTATAGAGGAAATGGTGAACAAAGAGAGGATTGAAAATGAAAATTTGCTAGTTGTGGATGTGGTGGACCAAAATAGGAATCCATGGAATGAAATTAAAGTTAAAAACCTAGTTCCAAACAACATTTGGAATAGGATTAAAACACTTTTTATCCCTTCGGGGCCTAAAGAGGATAGACTTATTTGGAGACCTAATCCTAAGGGCACCTTTTTCTCTAAAAACTGCCTACAATTTGAAGTGCTGTTCGACTGGCTTGAGAGATAATTTTAATTGGAATTTAAATGTATAGAGAATTAAGTGTCCCCCAAAGTTGAAAGTATTTTTATTTCTTCCCCTGAATAATACTCCCATTAAAATCGTTGCTTAGAGGAAGAGGTATGAATGTGGATGGCTATTGTAGCATGTGTGGGGAGGAGGAGGATTTGGAGTATATTTTCAAAAATTGTAATTTTGCAAAGCAAACTTGGTAGATCCTTCCTCCTCTTGAGAAACCAAATGATACTCACACCTCTCTAAAAGATTGGTGGTCCAAGATTTGTAGTAATAATAAAGTGAGTGAAAACCACTGCCAAAAAAAATGTGCTTTATCCTTTGGTACTTATGAAAGAATAGAAATAAGAGTACATTCTCTAATGCCATTGATCCCCTCAAGTTGTTAAAAGAGTGATTGAGGCCCATTTAGAATTTGTAAATAATTCAAAGGGGAAAGAAAATGAAAGCTCCTCAAAGTCATGGGAGCTAACCTCTTGGTGCCCTCTCGAGTTTGGTGCTATAAAGATCAATTTTGATGCCTCTTGTATTGGTAGAGAGGTGTGCTCGATAGCCTGCATATCTAAGAATCACTTAGGAGAGGTAGTGGATCTTAAAGCTTACTTCTTTGGTCTTACTACAATCAATTTGGTTGAGGCTTGGGCAGCATGGGAAGCTCATAACATGGCGCTAAACTTGAAGGATCAACCCATTATAATTGAAGGTGAGTCAAAGTTGGTGATTCAAAGTCTGCAATGTCAACTCAAACCCCCGTGGAGACTAAGAAGGATTATTCAAGGATGCTGGGAGCTGAGAGATCATTTACACAAGGGCCTAACATACAGCCATGTATTCCGAGAAGAAGCAAATCAAGCAGCTGATTGTTTGGCTCATGAAGCTATTTCTGTAGTTAACCGGTCTGTTTCCTATAACCTTAAATGATCTCCCTTGATCGCTCTCTTTTATTTGTAGTGATTGCCCCCGTATTGTGTATCCCCCTTTTGGATTTATCAAAAAATTGTAGAGTGCAAAACCTTAGGGGTGAGCATGGGTCGGTTCGGTTCGGTTCCATGACGGAACCTGGAACCTACCCTATAGGGGTCATTTCTAGGTTTTTGGAACCAGACCAACCCTGTGAAGGGTGGTTCTGGCCTTAGACAATGGCCTTTTGTAACCATGGYGGTTCGGTTCGGTTCCATGGCGGAACCTGGAACCTACCCTATAGGGGTCAACTCTAGGTTTTTGGAACCAGACCTACCCTGTGAAGGGTGGTTCTGGCCTTAGACAATGGCCTTTTGTAACCATGAGTGCTTGGGTTTAAATCTTCAAATCCCCAAAAGTATTTTAGGGTATATTTCAAGGAAAATTCAGTTCCAAGGCAGGTTTCACCAACGTCAACCAAGGTTGGTTCATTGGGTTAGTTCAAGTAGGGTTAACCCCTAGACCCTAAAACTGGCCTGAGTGGGGTTCGATTCCAAGAATTTGGAACCAAACCCTACCCTGTAACAGATCAGGTAGGGTTGGTTCATGGCCGGTTCAAGGTTAGTTCTTGGTAAAACCTACCCATTTGCTCACCCCTATTTTGTATTATTTTGCATATATTTATATTTGTACTCTTTCCAAAACTAAGCCTAAAGCTTCGTTTGGAAGCAATATAAATGCAAATGTGTAAGGTATAAATTCACATTTACCTGGTTCCTAAAATGCAAAGCGGTTCGCTTTTACATTTATGGTTTGTTCTCATTTCGTTTGGTAAATAAATGCATGCACTTTTTTTGGCGTTTGGAAGCTGAATGATGCAAATTCAAATTAAACATATAGATACGATGTGACCTGTAAACAAAAAATAAAATATAAAAACAAAACAGCATCTGACATATATCTAAAATAGAGAAAGATCATAAGCGTATTACGCAAATCAAACACAGTCGAATAGATCTCTTGAGATTAGAAGCTATCATGCCTTGGGTTTTGATGAGGAAGAAGAACACATCGATTGAGTAGATCTAGGTTGCAGATTGCAAGATTGACCATTGTATTAGCCAGAATCTCCTACAATCAGAAGCTACTGATGCCTTGGGGTTTTGTTGAGGAAGAAGCAACATAGTGATCGATCAGATCTGTGTTGAAGTCATGCCAGAATCTTCTGAGATTAGAAGCCATTGATTTCTAAGGGGTTTGTTGAAGAAGAAGAAACACACCGATCAATCAGACTTGAGTTGATGCTGATGCCTTGGGTTTTGACGAGGAAGAAGAAACACACTGATCTGACAATGCTTTGAGTTGAAGTCGTCGATGCAAACCAGTCTTAGCCTACAAAAGGGGTTTGCTGAAGAAGAAGAAGAAGAAACACACCAATGTGCATTAGAAGTGGTGAAACAGAACTGAATTGAAGTCGTTGATGTCTAAGGGGTTTGCTGAAGAAGAAGAAGAAACACATCTGTTTGCACTAGAAGTGGTGAAACAAATCTGAGTTGAAGCAGTCGATGTCTAAGGGGTTCCCTAAAGAAAAAGAAACACACCACTTAGAGGTCATCGACGGCAGGAAATGTGTTCTTGGAAGTATCCATTATCATCTTTCCGGTGTTAGTCATGGAGGATGGAAGCAAACTAGTCTCTTCTTTACTTCGATGATAAATGGGAGTAAATTTTTGCTTCGTAAAAATCGAAGTAATATTTTCTTTCTTAATCAAAGTAAAATTTGACACCTTACCACTTTCATGTCAATGATCGATACATTCTTTTGCTTAAAACAAACGAGTGCAAAGTTGAACCGGAATGCATTAATGCACTGATCCAGCATTTGCATCTCTTCCAAACGCAGCCTAAAGTTCAACTTTAAAAGAAATATTGAGATACACTGATACATATAGATATATCAACCCAAATACATCATACGAAAGCATCAATTATACTAAACTTGAGAAACTTTAAATATGATGGAAGAACTAAATAGTGTTAATGTGCATCTTAATTCTCACGAAACCAAAGTAATTCATGTTAAATAAATATTCATAAATATATAAACTTTAGTAATCGTTTTTTTGTTTAATTTTTTTGATGGAATGCGCTATTTTTAGAGCTTCTGCACTTATGACAACAACGTGAAATATGGTGCAGGTGGTGGAATTGCTACCTTTCAATCTAAAGACCTACTCACCTACGTTCGAATCTTCTTATAGTGCGGTGATAATGTAGATACATCAGAAAGAAGGGGAAAACAGGGGATGGAAGAAGAAAAAGAAAATGCAGAAGATGATTTTTGCACATCCCATTATAGACAAAGTGATAAACCATTATAAATCCCATTTGAAGAACAAGAAAGGGATTCCTGTCACACAACTCCATTAAAATATTGTGGACTAGTATTATACCAGTACAAACTACAAACACAGAGAACTCAAGCACCATAGCACTATGGCCAGTATCAGTCTATGGATATGTGCTCTACGATGCATAGTTGATGTCAGAATTATACTGAACTGGAAAAGAGACATACACAACTCCAGCTAATAAAAAATAAACCTTTATCACCTTCAACAGGTTCAACATCCTGTAATTGAAAGAATAACTTAACTCTGGGCCCTGTCACTGTACAAAAGAAACCAACAATTTTGGACAAAATGACTATGATAGTATATACTGAGGAATTTTAAGGTCAAATCATGGACTTCCCATGGGATGAAGATCGGATTCTCCTAGAGTCAAGCATGGAAATGTTGATTCCATCCTTCCCACAGCGGATTGAACAAGGAAGCTTGTATTCATTCTTCCCTATCAACGGTTGGTCAACTGCCTGCACTGATCCTCTGGAAAGAAAATGGAATCCTGGATTTGTCAGAACTCAGAAAGGTAAAATTGAGCAGAAAGATGCCCCCTAGTTACATTTTGTTTTTCAAGTTCACTTTTGCTATGACACTGTCGTAGCGCAGGGCTGAAACCCGAAAATCATGGCTTTAGATGTATTACAGTGGCCCCACCAAGAAGTCACTTCATCTAATTCAAGGTGGGGCGTTGGCAACACATCAAAGGTTTTGATTTAATTGTTTTAGCACAGCGCTACAACACTGTTGTAGCAAATGTGGCTTTTTTTTTTCCTTTGTGTGTCTACTACATATTTTGTAATCTAAACTTTGCACTTGAGATCACAATAGGGTAGACCCAATAACAGTCTGGCACGTTAGTTCACCCTTATCTTCAATCAAGTAGTATACCATGCAGCCAAAAGAACCAAAAAGAAAACTTTCACCCTTATCTTACCTTGGTTCAAGATTTTGAGAGCTCCTTGCAAAGTTCTGTCTATGCTTTTTCATCCTCAAACTACCATATATTGGTGATCCAATAAGCGCATTCTCATTTTCTGTCTCAGAAAAATCATTCTTTCGAGTCTCCTCCATCTTTACTTCAGCATCCAAAAGCAATGTGGGCAGCTGATGTTTGATCTTAGACTTACTCTCCATCTTGTTTTTCCTAATGCCTCCTTTCCTGATATTTAGTGCTTGCTTAAACTGCTCTTCTTCATGTTCAGGATGAACTTTCCTTGAGTTCAAATTTTGGAGACTGTAGAACACATCAGACACATTGTCTTGCTTCTCTAGCTCCAGTGGACCACGGCACCCTTTTAAGTTATCATTTGCCTGGAGCCCTGGTATTGTTGCCACAGATTTATTGAGAGCAACTCTGGCTGGAAGATGTGGTTTCACCATGGGCGAGTTGTCACAAGAGTCTAGCTTGAGCCTGCTTCTAGCTAAGGCCCCTCTATCAGTAGATATTGATCTCCTCACAGGAGGGGAAGGTGACCTTTGTTTTACAGAGTTGATGAAGTTCTCTTCAATAAAATGCATCTTTGGGATTTGATCCTTATCTGTGAACCGAGAGGAAAAATGAGACCGCCTCTGCTTACCCGAAGAACAGCTTCTGGCCTGAAATTTAGTGCCCATTCAAAATATTCAAATCATAGGAATATTTTTATTTTTTAATTAGAAAATATATGAGTGGGACAAGATTTAGTTGAGTTCAGTTTCTTTATATGTTACTACAGACCTCAATGCTTCTACTGTCATCAGTGGACAACTGACTACTTTCTGGTTTCACACTGACACTGGTTCCATATCTCGACACGCTTAACGGTGAGACTGTTATCACTTTTTGGGACTCCATACCAATTCGACTATTCCCAAGTTTCTGTTTTTGTAGCTCAGCTTCTTTCCTCTCCAATGCCAATTTAAGATTTGAGATCTGAAAAGATCAAACCAATAGTTTGAGATACCGTTAGAATGCAAAGTTTCTTTTAAAGCAGAATGAAATTATGGGACCACTGATAACCCAACCTCTTCTTTAAGTTCTCTGATTTCACCAGTTTCTTTATTAGAGCGAGCAGCCCCTAGCTCTATTGATGCCACCCTCTCAGCAAACTTTAGTGTGCTTATTGTCTCCCCAATGGCATTAACTTCAGGATTGATATGTACAAACATCAAGGTTTTGGCTTGACCACCTAATATATACAAGAAAATGATAAGAGAATTAAAAATCACATCAGTTATATCTCCTACAAATGTTATGTTTATAATATTAACACCATCAAATAAAATTGATCATTTTTTTTTTCGTTTTTCCAAAGGGAGTTATTGCACCTGAACCACTCAGTGATAGGTCGGAGAATTATGTGCATGGGATATACATAATGGAGTAACTTATTCTAGCATTTTAGTTCAGTTAACTAAGGGAAAGGAAAATTCTTTGTTAGAAACAAGAGTATAGATTTTCTGCTCACAAACAAGGATGTGAATTATTACCTAAAGAATCTTGCAATACTTGGGTAAGTTTGCTATTTCTGTAGGGGATATGTGTACTTTTTTGTGCAAGGGCAGAGATAACATCTCCAAGTGCAGAGAGTGACTTGTTTATGTGTTGGGCTTCCTTCAATCTCTCTCCAACAGCTTCAGATTTGTCCACCCGCTCACTTCCAGCCAGATCAACTAGATGAAGGCAACCACGAAGGATGGATCCAGAGGCCAATTCTTTTCCTTGGACATGAACTGTTAACACACTTAAGAAGGAAAAGGAAAAAAGATCAGAAAATAATGCAATTATAGCAATAGAGAAAAGAAAAATGCCAGTTATCAATGAATATAAGATCATCAAAATAAAGAACAAGAGAAGAAGAAATATTCTACCTATGGGAACGGCTGCTTCGTTCATTAAGTGCAGTAGCACCAACAGCACGATTCCTTTGGCCAATTCTCATCAAGTCTAGAACATCTTGGGTACATCTAACTTGAATTAAACTTGCATCAGGTACATTAAGTCCATTCAATTGAGAATTGTTCCGTATTTCTAGCGTACAAGCAGTTAAGGGACTGAAATGACATTAAAGTATTGCTTTTTATTGGAAAGAAATGGCATCGTATGTCTGTTTCTTTTTGGGGGCTTGGGGGTATCATGAATTGAACCAAATTGAAATAGCTTCGAAAAAAGAAAATTGATCCCTAACATATGAAAAAGGAAAAACATATCATGAAAAGAAATTCATGGTGGTTGACAAATTATTCATTCATCTTCCTTTTCTTCAGGAGGTGGAATAAGGATATCTTCTGTTAGAGCCATCAATGACCAATAGATCCCTCACTTGTTCATTATATATTTCAATCATTTGAACACCAACTACATACTCTATAATATCCATTCTCGATTTTGATATTCGGAATAGATCATTTAGAGCTCGATAATTTACGCCCCACGTCTCTTGTGTTGTCAGATCTGGTCCACTCTGAAAAATGAAAGTCATGTAAAAAACAGTCATCCAGTTATACAACAAAAGGTAATGGAAATACTGCACAGTAGTCTATTTTCTACGACTTTTAGTTATCTTTGTTTTTAATAAAGGCGGGGGAGAAAGTTGTGTTTAGGGAAAATAGGTTAAAAAGAAAATTCCAAGTGAGATGGTAACAATAAATGGGCATCATTGGGACATAGGTAGGTTGGTAGTAAACTGTAACAACCAATGTGGGATCAACACCCTAAAAAGAGAGAAGGGAAAAGGCATTGATCATATAATATATAATTATTTAAAGGGATTCCTATTGACAAAGGGCATAGCTATCAAGAGAAAAACAGGAGATTCATTCAACTGCGCCTGAAAGTTTTAAATGATGATGATGATGACGATTAGGCTGCGTGAAGTAGGAGAGTCAATGGGTTGGGTCTGGGTCACGTCCAGGTAGAACCGGAACCGACCCAGCAAGAAATACTAAGGACCCAGAACCGAACCGGACCTAATCGGGTTTGTAATTTTAGACCCAGAACTGAACTGATCGGTTCTCGGGACAATCAGGTCTGACCTGATGGACCTGATTATAATAATAAATCTACTTCGGGACTGGGTGGAACTGGTTCCGAACCGATAAGAATCGGGACAATATATCAGGAACCAGAACTGACCCATCAGTTCCGATTCCTAGAACCAAAACCGACCCAATCAGTTCCGGTCCGTCGGGTCCAACTCGACCCATTGACAGAACTAGCGTAAAGCCTATGTGAGTTTAGTTTCAAGGTATATCTTTGATAAACATTTATCAGAAAGTGTTCATAAAAATTTAGTCTAGGACAAATATTCAGTTAAAATCCAGAAAAGAAAATCCTTCAATGAAAACTACTTATCTAAAAGATTTTTCTTTGAAACTAATTTCAGCCAAATCCACATGATCACAAACAAGACATTTATTATTCCCTCTTTACCTACTTCAGCACATGAAAAATCCCTAAAATCTATATATATATGCTGCATTATTGCTTAAGATTACCATTGTGTATGTCTTCCCTGAGCCTGTCTGTCCATATGCAAAGATACAAACATTGTAACCATCTAGAATAGATCTGATCAGTGGTTGGGTATCAACAAAAACTTGCTCTGTAAAAAGGGAGAAAGAAACAGCATGAGTACTTTATAAAATATCACAAAATACACATAGCCTTTTGTAGATTTATTTCTCTTTACCCAGGATAAAAAGTCAGGAAACAGTCCACTTCATTGATATAATAGTCTGGCCATATTTTGTGTACCACATGCACAAACATTAGAACCATACAAAAGCAAATTGTTTCTTAATGATATGGAAATAAAATATATAGAAAAAATCTTCAAAGATTTTTGTTTGATTTACTTAAATTTTCCTTCCTTCTACAAGATGCAAAAAAAATGAATGGAGAATTTGATGACTACCTCTTATCTTCTCAATTATTTATGTATTTCTTTGTATATTTGTTTTTTTTTCTTTCTGGTTGATTCTTTAATTTGTAACATGTGGTTTAGCAATTGAAAACAAAACAAAGTTGATACTTCCTAGGGAAATAAAACCTTTTTTTCAATGCCAATTATCTCAAAGGGAACCAAGATATATCGTTTTCTCTTTCCATGAGGCTGTTGAGGTGGAAGAGTATCAAAAACTAATAAGGATGGGATTAGAAATAGGAATATCTGTGGAAAAACATGAGTAACCTTTTAAGTGATAAAATGAGAGGAAAGTGGACCAAGAAAGTCCAGATATGTGAATAGAAGACCACCTATTGAACTAGTAAGAAGTGATCTGATGCAAGTTGATGGTTCCACCACTTAATGTGTTTTGGATAAGGCTTTGTCAAGTTCAGTTAGGTATACTATAAACAGAAACCATAAATATACTTGCCATATGATAATAAATCCTAATTTCAAAAAGAAAACTTACGTTGTGTGGCATTTGCCCCAAATACTTTATTAAATGAGAATATCCTCCTTGCATCTTTTCCCTGCTTAAAAGGATTTATGATCATGATATTCCCATTTTCATCAATGTAATCCACAGTGGATTGCCCATCAGATTGTCCAGGTAAGAAGGGTCTCACTCTACAGTAAACCCTGATGGTTCCTGTGAGAAATTCACATTATACCAGACATGAAAACTCTTATGAAACTTAACAGATCTAAAATATATCAAGGTAGAAAACTTACCTTTTAGATCTTGTACTTGATTGTAGAGTAGACGGTTTTCCTCCAAAACTTTGTGGTAGGAAGAAGAAGTCACTTCAAGGCTTTTAATATGATGCTCTAATACAATGAACGAAAATGATAGAGTTAACCCTATACCTTTAGCCACGGGCATAGAAAAACTAATAAACCTAATTGAGGATTTTCTCCTTAACTAGTACTCTCAAATTACAAAAATTTCCAAGTTCTCACCAAGCCTTTTGAGCTCATCCTCCCAGTTCAAATTAACTTCTTCAACCTCAGCTTTTGTCTCTTGAGAGATTAATTTTAGCTCCTGAAAATGTAGAAGGAATAATAATAATAATGATGTGCAAGAAACCTATATGGATTCAAAATCAGAATTAAATGTCAACAAAACTCAGTACTGAAAGTTTAAATGAAGAATTTGTTAGGTGATTACAAGCAGAAGCAACCAGGATTCTACAACATCCATGTGCAAATAAATGGGTTCTAAAAAATGGTAAATATGTGACTTTCAGATCCATTCATTTAAGAAAATATTGCCCATGACATCTCCTAGGTGGGGGATTAAAAGATGGGATTAGCACCAGCATGTGTGCACATGGCAGCACTATTGCTAGGAGACCCCTGCTCATAATTACCTGAGAAAAACCCTATTTTGCCTCCTCACGTTATGTTTACACCTAGAAATCTTAGGATAAGAGAACAAAAACAGAAAATTAAAGGGATGCATCAACCAAATGGAGTATCTTTCTATGTGAACAACATTCATACCTCAAGTTGTTTCTGTTGAAGATCAAGTCTTTTGGCATGACTGGAATTATGATTATCACCAAGACTGACTTCACGAGGCTTTCCACCACAAATGCAGAACTTTGAGGCACTTGATATTCCATGTGTTCTTTGGGCAAGATATTGTGAAATGGCATCTAGGAAGTCTGCATTTGTTGCAGAACCAGCATTACCTTTCAAGATTTCTTTCAAAAGCAACATTAGCTGTATATGAAGGTAGAAGATGACAAAAGGTTAGTCTCTGAACCAGTAAAATGGAAAGAAATACATTCCCACAAAACAAGTGTTCTTCTATGGCATTACTACCTGATTTCCATGTGAAACAATGAGCCCTCTGAAATCCTTAACTACCTTGCCAATCACAGCATCAATTAGCTGCAAAAGTTTTGAAAATTTAAATAACATTATATCCAATGCATGTTTTCTTTCTTTTTCTTTTCATGAATATACATAGTTTTATCTCAGTCATAATAAAAATAAAACAAAGGAAGAATATAAATTAAAATGAAATAACAACTTTTTTGAAGAAAACAAAAGTCCTTCAACTGAGGGTCTTGGAAATGAAGATATTTCCAGTTATGTGATTCTTATTTGACATGTTGTGGTCTAGTTGATCTACATTTTTTGCACTTGGTATCAGTCATAATAGAAACCAGCATTCACCTAACCGAGTGCTTGGAATTCAGCAATGACTGAGATTTGAGTGGTAGTTACAAATTACAAATTTATAATATGTGAATTCAACCAAACTATAGTTGACTTGGCTGATTTTCATATAGATGGTTGCCAAGCAAGTAGACAAGACTGGTGTAAGGGAACTTGTCAAAAGACTTGTTAATATGTTAAGCAGTTAACTGCCAATAAATTTCAAGTACCAGATTTCTATTTTGCAAAGCACAGAATGCATACTGCTTTCATGCAGACAAAAGGCAATCTTTCTATGCTCTTCAGACAATTGATTTTCAACAGAGAAATGCTTTCCATGAAAATGCTATGGTATTCTTAATGCAATGATGACTTGTGGCAAGTGAAAATTTTCATCCCTCTTACATGTCAAGTAGCAACATGACCAGTTTCATTGGAATTGAATTGAGAGTTTTAACAGAACTGGCTTGCACATGACTCTCTTTACATATCATTTTCCCCCAAGGAGGATGATGGGTCACAATACACAATACCATGGCACCGAAGAGGTGTTCTTAAAAGTTAAAACTGTTCAACATGAATATTTTTGTTTTTCTTGTTTCTAAAAAAGTATGTCACATAAATAAAACAGAAAAAACATGTTCTTGTACATATGTTTTCTCCAAACGAACTGAAAATATTGTTAGTTTGATTTAGTAAAATACCCTTGTGCCTGAATATCTTTTTGTTACATAACATTACACAATACATTTAAAAAAAATACCATTATGTCTGAAATCAACAAAAAGATGCTTTTCAAGAAGGTTAACTTGGGGTTTTATTCAGTTATGTTGCATGGACACTAAGGGTCGTTTCATAATGGCTGAAGTGGCTCAACTGAAAAGCTTACTGCTCTGTCTTTTAGTGAATAAGATTTTAAGGAGGTTAGGTCCTTAATGACTGAAGCTGGAATTGGGTAGTTTACTATAACCTAGAATATTACATTATTTAACTATTTTATCCAACAAAAGATAAAGTAATAAGTCATTTAGTTCAGCAACTTCAGCTGTTATCAAATGGCCCCTAAAATTACTTTCAGACCCTTTTACGAGTGCTGCTTTAAAGCCCTTAGAATTAAACTAGCCCACATCTAAACAGACTTGGGTCCAAATTATAAATAAAACAAAAATGAAAAAGAAAAATAAGAAAGATGAACTAATATCTGGTTGATCCAAATCTCTTTACAATTATTGTATGCTTTTTGAAACATGATCAAAACCACCAAAAAACATGCTTTTGAAACAAGAAGTTCAATAACATATTTCTGGCTTAGTTTCAAAAAATTGAAAAATGATACACAGCCAAGAATGTATTTTATGTAGTTTTATTTTTAGAAGATGTTTTTTCAAACCAACTTTCCAGCCCAGTTTTCTTGAAATAACAACAGTGGAGACTACCCCCTAGGACTTACCAGTTCCACAAATTAATCAAATATGAACAAAAGAAAGCAAACTGATCAAACAGGTAAGCCACTACTCATGGTGGAGAATACCCCTTAAGATTTACAGAGTTCAGAATCTAAGTTCCACAAATTAATCAAGGATGAACAAAAGACAGCAAATATCAATATCGTTACAAAAGGAAAGGATCTTACCTACCATTGCATTTAAGGAAAAATCCTCAATCCCATTCCACTCCATAAGAAAAGCCCGTAGTAACCCAAGGCCAAAGTGATCAAATAGGTAAGTCAGAGCTTTTGTCGTGTTAGATTCTTCATGTGACATCTTTGTAGAAAAAAGGAGAAATTCTTCCAGCTTTTTATTGTGAAACAAATCAGGATCATCCAATGGCTCATCAGCATTTTCACTGGCAATTAAGGAGGATGGTGACCCCTTGGGTAAAGATGTTATCTTCACAGTCCCACCATACCTCCAAACCCCAATGCCACCTGCTTGCTTCCACTCATGGTATCCTTTCAGACAGAGAATGCAGTCAACAACTTTAACAGATGAGCCTCCCTGTACAGAACAATTTTAAATATTCAGAGGAAAAACTAATTAGTTGGATATGCTGAGAACCATACAAGGACTGATTGGGCAAAAAGATGCTGAAAATCACTAAAATAAGAACTTCATACTTAATAAACTTGATAAGATGGTAATCCAAATAAACAAGGTGAAAAAAGAGAGAAAAATACACTTTTTTTTTTTTTTGCTTTGAAGAGAGAAAAACACACTTGATCGTGCATTTGTAAAAAAGCACAGTGATCTGCTACATGGGTCCTCAAATGGATAATCTACTGTCGCTTACGAAAGATAGTTAAGAGTCTATAGTGGCTGTTAATTCTTTTATTGCAACCTGCTTCATGACCTAAGTTGAGAAAAACCTAAAGGCAAAATTTCATAGTGGTTTGTGGTGGAAGTGTAGATCACAGTTTTAAAAACCAGACCGGAAATGGAACCACTTTGACCACCGGTTCTTGGGTCAAACGGTCTGACTGTTTGGTCCAAACCATGGTTTTGGGGTCCAAAACTAAACCTGAAACCATGACCGGTTCCCTGGTCAACCGGTCAGAYCATCCGATCCGGTCTGGATTTCAAAACCATGGTATGGACCTGGTCCATATTCAGCTTATGCGTCCATCCTGAATAAGAAGAGTTATGTAGTTTGGGGGTTTTCTCTTATGTACATCTTTTGGCTTGAGAGAGAACTCGGGAGGTTTTGGGCTTTTTCTTAGGAGAGGTTATGCACAACTCTGTAATCTCCATTATTGTTTCTACTGTGGATTTCTGCTAGTCTACCCTATTTTACTTCATTTTCTTGTAACATTCGAATCTGTGCGGGTTTTGTGCAACAATGGCCGTGCAGACTAGAAACGTTAACCACATATGCCCTTGACTTCATTCACAGTTTCCATTCCCAAACACTCACAGTTTACATACCAAAAGTAACTAAACTAGCAGAATAACAGTTCATATCAATATCGATACTTATCATTCAAGGATAAGCTTGCGGTACAAACTCTTTATTTCAAGCAAATTTCCGACTTGTTCTTCAAGGAATTGGGTTTAGTAAATAAGTTTTGATTGCAACGGGACACTGTTCTTTTCCATGTCACATGCATCTTCCACATAACGAGTAAAAAAACGAGTTAACGCAATTCCTGGTTTTATTCATCCTAGACAAATTGAGGCCAATAAAAAGCCATTTTGTCTTTTGATTCGACTAGTCCTATCATGTCTGTAAGAACCAAAGAATTGTATAAACTCCTAAAGATGAAGGTAGAAAAAGAAAAACCTTTTCCAAATCGGAGGCTTCGAACGTCAAGAGCTTCATATCTCCAACGGCTACTAGGAAATTTCTCATGTTTTCGAAGTATTGAATCGCCGACTGGGCAGCGCCTTCCGTCGATTGAACTGTAACAATTGGGTTTTCTACCACCTGTTGCATGGATTTCCCAATTCAATAAACCCCATTGATGGTGTGTAATTTCATCAACAATTCAAAGCGAAAAGCCGAATACATACGAGAGAACATGGACATATTAGAGCGGTGAAAATCCAAAATACCTTGGACACGGCGCCTGGATTGACCTTGTTGAGGACATTGCATAGAATGAGGCCGTTGCGCAGGGCCAGACAGAACTCCTCTTCGGTGGGTTCCTTTGGTAGAACTCCGGACGCACCTTGATCCATCTGTCGTAGCCATTCTGCCGCCTGATACCTTCTTGAAGCTGTAATCAGACGAAAATTAAATTATGTCTATCACATTTCAACTTTTCCTTTAACCATTAGCCTCTCTCCATTAGTCAATATGAGAGGAGCACTTGTAATCTTTGGGTGATTCACGGTCCTGCTCCGACCTCGACGCTCCTCCTCTGGTGACAGACTGAGAGGGAGAAGAAGGTATGCCACCATATGAAGAGAGCTGGGGGCCGCCTCCCTTCTTGACACGTTACATTAGTCCATACAAATTCCATTGCAACAGTAACAGTGCTGAAGCATGGCCATGCGGAGTCACGTAGAGAGACTATGGGATGGACGAAACCCGTTGATCGCGGCACCCCCTACGATCCCCAATGAAACCAGTCATCACGCCAGAGGGGGATTAGGGGGGCTTAGCTTTATATTTAACTGCTTTTGTGCATTTGCTTTAATTTACATCCAATGGTTGAGATGATCAGTGGGTATGCCTACAAATTAGTAGGGGCTGGCTTTATATATTTAGCTGCTTTGCACTCAATAGTTGAGATAATCAGTCGGCTTGCCTCCAAAATGGGTCAAACACAAATGAGCATTTAGTGGCTTATGCAAAGCAATTCAGCTAAATTAAATCAATCTAAATCAACCTTTGAGGCCTTCCAGAAAAGGTGTAATTCATAGTCTATAAGTAAATTTTTATATGTATAAATACTTCAAATAAAACGTGAAATCAAGACTTCAATATATATATATATATATATATGAGTCCATAATAGGCATAACTAAAATCACTATAAAAGAAGTGATGATCGATCGCTCATTTTGATTAAACTCTAGACAATATTGGTATGAGTTTGCCTCAATCCTAATTCGACTCTCTAACAGTCAATTTGAACTTAAACATAATCTGACCTGGTTTAAAAAATGCATAATTTCTAAATCCAACCCGACCTTATAGGGGCCTAACCCGATACCAACCCGATTCAATTTGTGACATTTTAATTGTATTTTTTAACACATTTTGATACCTAAAATTCATTAATTTAAGTTAAAAATTTGTTTTATAGATTCTAAGGAATCACTTTTTCTCATTTATAGAGTTCCAAGTCAAAAATTACAAGAATACTCTGTATATATACAGGGTATCATGACCCAACAAGGCAGATCAGTCAAAACCCAAACCAAACTTGGATTGAAGAATCAAAACCCTAACCCGACCCCTAAAGCCGAATATGTTTGACCCTAACCGGGTCAAGCCGGGTTTACCATTTAAGCCAACCCATTGACATCCCTAAATATTGGTAATATATTCAGATTTTAGACTTCTAACTGCCTCCTAAATCAAATTTATTCACTAGCCAATTGAAGGAAAATGGTGGAAAAGCCATACCTGAAAAGGGGGATAGAAAAATATTACAAGTATTAGAATTTAATGTGTCATATACTTGATGGAAAACTTACCAAACAAAAGTTATGAGAATAATAAGTTGCAATCTTTTTTTTTAAATAGCATTACAGTTTAAAGAGGTTAGTAGGTACATTCAATTCAAGAAATTACATTAGAACCAATTGGTTAGACAGTTCTAATGGATTCTCCTCTTAAATACTGTTCTTCATTGCTGCCTCTATTAGGTATGGTGGATTAAGTTACCATCCAATTATTTAATAGTGTTGTATATAATTGTTTATCCTATCTAGTGTTAAATTTTTGCTCTCCAAATAGATAAGGCTCATAAATTATACAATGCATAATTTTTTATTTTATATTAATAATTTAATAATATTTTTCAAGAAACAAATCATGAGTATAACAGTAACTAAGCGCCTGATGCACTTGATTTCTTTTCAAGTCGATGACACAATGGTATGCAGTGCTTCCCCCCTTATAAAATATTTCTAACTCTAAGGTTATGTTTGGCTTGAAGGAAAACGTAGGAAAGAAATGAAAATGCAGAAAAAACCAATGCAAGGTTTGTAATGATTTTCCTATCTTTTCTTTCTTTTTCCGACTTTTTCCTTTAAACCAAACACAGCCTAATTAAAGTTAACATTTTATTTTCCAATCCTGATTTAACTCAACCAAAAGTACTTATCTAGACTTAATTTAAAACTGAAATAATTCCTAGCATTTGCCCCTAGATTTAATTTATTAATTGTATATAAAATCCGAAATTGATCTCAGTTAAATCTAAATCTGAATGGTAAGATTGAACTTGCGTTCAAGATTTATATTTAGGTATGTCCAATTCGAATCCCCTCCATATGCGGTCCTACTCTAACCGACTTGGGGACTAGCAAACCCATATAAAAAGTTTCTAATATATCAAAAATTTTCTAGTCAATCGTATAGGTTTTACCTTGTTTACCAACTACTGGCTATTGGCATGACATCTAACCGCCCAAAGCATTAACTAAAGGGAAATTGTCTAAGAATCACCATGAGTTTTCAGCATTTCTCTTAAACTCATCACAACTTTTCAAAATGTCTAAAACTCATCATGTCACTAACTTGATGTTAAACAGACTAACGAGTGTTAATATATTACCATTTTAACCTTTATAGAAAAATATAAAATATATACAAAATAAATTAATGGGTGTTAATATATTACCATTTTAATATTTAGATATAAAAAATGGAAAAAAGTTCAAAAATATACTTTCAAATATAAAATACATAAAAACATAGAAATTACAAAAAATATAAAAAATTATAGAAATTACAAACAAAGTAAAAAATTATTTTCAAATTATAGAAACTGTAGAATTTGAAAAAACAAATTGTAAAAAAACAAAAATTATAGAAAAACACAGAAATTGCAAATAAATAACAAAAAAATACAGGAAAAATTATAGATTGTAGAAAATAGAAAAATGTAAAAAAACAGAAATTATAAAAAAAACACTAAAAATGCAAAAAAAAAACAAGAAAAATGAAAACTAAAAAAGACAATTTTTCCTCTAATTCACCATTCAAGAGTAATTTGGTCATGAAAATTGTTATTTATGCTGACATGGGTACCTCTGTTAAGAAGTATTAATGGTGTATTAAAGGAAAATGAGCTTTGGAAAATAAAAACTTACTGACATGATGAATTTGAGACATTTTGAACAGTTATAAAATTAAAAATATTGAAAACTCATGATAAATTTTAGACAATTTCCCTTAACTGAATTGAGTGACACACCCACAAACGAGTACACAAGAAGAAAGAATTTAAATCCATGAGACTCCCCTCCTGTGACTGTCCTTTGTATTTTTGTGAATATTTACGAGGGGCATTTTAACCCCCGGGGACAGTTCACAAATTACCCCCAGCTTATTCCTTCCACTAAAAGACGGTTAAAAGAATCCCTTCGCATGTGCTATGGCCCCATCTATGTCCCACCAAATTCCAAATTCATTACTGGACGGTATCCAATGAGTTCATGGAAGTTTTATGGTAAACTACTAATAAGTAATAACCCTTACCTCTGGAGCTTTAATTAAAGAATAAACTCTGACCAAACAGAGTACTAATTACTAAATGCACTGCGTATGCCTCTGACCTATTAGGCAAAAGCTCTAAAACAGGGCACCTCGGTAGAGTGATAAAACTCTGGAATTTTGAAAATTGAAACCGACATAAACAAACAATCTGTGAGTGACGGGCATCCATGGAAGCCAAGGTATGGGTTGGGTGCTCCACGGCCTGTTGGACTGCTTGCGGAATCGAGCGTCGTTTGAATTAATCTCACGAGGCAAAGTTCAAAAAATCAATACGTATCTTTTGGTTCTGATTCGAAACCCCACCCTTTTTTAACTCCTCAAAAATTAAAATTAAAAAAAAAAAAAGTTAATTTCGTGTGTATCTAAGTACCGATACGCCTCTGCCGAGAGGTATCGATACTCTGAAACATGTCACGAGGTCTACACCTGACCTGACCAAATTAATGTCGACGCGTATCCTAAGCTGATATTTGGTTTGGTGGAGAAACAAGAGAGAAACAGAAAACAAACACAGCCTAATTGACTCTTTAGCTATAAGGGGCAGAGGTTGACACTATCACTCAGCATCAGCAGTCAACACTGACACTGAGATGCTGTTACCAAAGAATACCAACCGATCTCGAAATCATGAAGATGGCGGGGTTGGTTGCAAAGCAGTTAATATGTAAGATGGGTTGGATGCGTGGTGGAGACCCACTGTCCCAACCCCACACCAGCTTTAGTGTTTAGCGCTCAATGGGGATTGTACCATCATCATGGGTCATCATGAAGCGTCGCACCATATCTGTTTTAATCTCTATCTTTTCCTTTTCCTTTTTTTTTCCTTTACCTGTTTTTAATATTGGACATTGAATTTGAACGTGTCTCTGTCTGTATCGTATGGTTGACGCAAAACATGACACAACCGACACACATTTTTAACTCCTGTGTCGCGCTGTAGGCTGTACTGTAAAATTCTGAGAATTTGGAATTTGAATTTTGAAGCAGGACGTGGAAAGATGTATGTGATAGATGAAAATTAAAGAGTATATTCTTGGGAAATACATACCAGCCTCTTCCGCCTTTCTTTGGGCCAACTCGTCGTCATTGATGACCTCCTCAGCAAACAAACCTTCTTGACAGTTCAATCCCTTCAGTCCTCCTCTTAGGCTCTTAGAAGGAGTGGTGAAAGTCGAATCAGAGTTCGCTTCTTGCGGCATCTTCACTTGACTTCTGTATTCTTATAACTTCACCCGGAGTACTGGATCTCTCCAACTCTGAAATTTATAACTTCACTTCTACACAGTTGGCTAAATCACGAGCATTTGAAGAAGCGAAACAAAATTTTGTCAAAGCACACTCTTCCGACCTGTTACTTGCAAAAAGAAAGAAGACGAAACAGAACAAAATTCAAATGAGTCATACATAAATCCACACCCGCAATTTAAAAAGCACGAGATATCTCGATCGAGAGCAGTAAGAAGCAGTTACATTTTTCCTGTGTAATTCATCTAACCTCTCGCATACTCTTCTTAAAAGAAAGGTCTCGCATACTCTTCAACTTCCTCCAAAATATCCGTTCAGTTGACCGGAAAGCCGCCGGCAATACAACGACTGAAAAAGAATAGACGATCTGAAGTCGAAACCAGATAAAAGTAATGAAGAAAAACAAACTTCTCGTGTGTTGGGAGGCAGAGCATTCGAAAATGCGGAAGCCTATTAAATGAGAGTATGAGAGGGATCAGTTAAGTGTGAAGAGACACATCTGCCCCGCAAAATGAAGAGAAGAAAATACGTTCCTGTAACCTGTACACTACTGTACTGTCCTGTCCCATTTGGTTGGACCAAAAAGTAATTAAGCTATGTTTGGGAGTGCGATAAATCACAAAAGTAATTCCGATGCAATAAACAGTTTGCCTAAATCATCACCAGTCATATAATCAATGGTATGCACTAATCATTTCAATCTAACTGATGGTTTGTTCTTTTAATGGCCCCACAACTACCACCATGACCCACAGGCCAGAAGAAAAGAAATTCCGATCAATCAAACAATATTCCCGATCTCGCAGGGGAAAGCAAGATCTCAATACCAGATGTGTTACTCACACAGGGCGCTTCACACCGATTTCACACATCATATGGTACATCCTACCATGCATTGGGAACATCTTTCATACTTATAAATTATTATTCACGGGAGATATTATCAATGCAGGTGGATGTGCTTATTAGACGCCCCTCTGTGAGGAGCAGATCTGTATTTGATGGCCCAAGATGAAAGCAAAGAAAGAACAAAAGTATTGGTGAATGGTGGTAGAAAAATAAAAAGGCGAAAATATTAAAGTTGAAGGTTTGAAATGGGAAAGAGCGAAAATTGAGGCGAACGTTGTTGAATCAATACCTTTAAAATGATAGCCGAGATGAGCTTTTTGGTGTAGCTTTTACACATTGTCGCCCATTAAAAAGACCACCACATAGAGAATTATATACTCTACCGTTCATCTTTATTAACTTCCATCAATTTATTAGTTTAGTCAAAAGCAGAGGAGGGAAAGCTTTACTTGGAAGCATAAAACAGAAAATAAATATTACTAAGGCTGTGTTTGATTGCAGTGCAATTTTATTTGCACTAGTATAAATGCATGGGAGTACAAATGAAAAAAAAAATGTAAATTCTCGTTTTAACTTTGTTTTGGGTTTTACTTTATTTTGTTTCATTTTTTATTTACTTCATTTGTACTGCAATCAAGCAAAATAAACTAAAATTTGAAACAAAAATAAATGAGAATTTACACTCAAATCATTTTCATTGCCATAGTTTTGCATTACTGCAAATTTATTTGCATTGCAATCAAACACAGACTAAAGAATAAAGAGTATTTTAAAGTAATTATAGATATATTAAAAGCAAAATGGGTACGGATGGAGTGTCCATTTTGCTTGAAATGGAATCCTAGCATGTGAAGGTTATATGGGCTTATGTGAATTGTGGAATATTTTGCTATTTTGGCACAAATGGTTCGTGTCATGTTCATGAGCATTTTCTAATTATAAAAAGGGAAATTTTGTTAAACTACCCTTATGGCTTAGCTAATTGACTAACTCTACCCTTATTGTTTACGTATTATCTTAAGGTATCCTCAGGTTTTCTATCAATTGTCATTGTCGTTAAACAATGATGGAAAAAGCAAAAAGTCAAAATTTTCCTTCATTGTTTCTCATATTTTCAATAATAAAACATTGAATTTACCCTCCAACCCCAAGTGTCGATCCTCATTGGTAATCTAGAGACTAGTAATCAAACAACAACCACAGATACCTCAAGCCACCGAGGAGTCGATCAAGTACAAAGCCATTTTCTTCTCAGACCAGAACTCTACATTTTTTTATCAGAATCTCTCTCTCTCTCTCCAACACAACCACCGTGAATGACTCCCCGATCCTATCATCCCAATTATCAATAGAGAGAGAGAGATTAGGTAGTCGTCCATTTGGTGGAATTTACTATTGACCAACACTATTTATTGTTCTCAACCTCTCAAAGTACCGAACTGCAACGGCAGAAAAAGCCTCCCCATCCTCTAGTGATTTTCTATTGCTTTTTTCTCCATTTTCCGTCGTCCCTTTCGGCAAGAACAAAGGAGTTGCAGTGACACAACTCCCCTCTGATCCCTACTCAATAGTAGTGTAGAACCAACATTTTCCAACCTCATTTCCTCCCTTGATTTTCTCTTTTCCACTCCCTTGCCATTCTCTACCATTTTAACCATCAACCAAACCCCTTGCCCTCTTCAAGCTTTGTTGTTCGAAACTGCAACATCGGTCTAGAAACTCTTATCAAAACTCTAATTTTCTCTCCTTCTCTCTCCATTTAGAACTCTAATTTTGTTCTCAGATAAGAAACCCCTTGCCTCCTTCAAGATCTATTGTTTGAAACCACAATGTCTATCTAGCCAATAAGATGCCAAATGTGGTATTGCCACTGTAAAAGTTTATCGCAAAAGGGAACTGTGCAATGAGTTTAGCATAGTAGGTGGGGAATGCGATGAGATATGAAAAAGGTGTCAAAATGAAAGAATAAAATGCTATGTATTAATTTATTGTCTTGACACACACACACACACACATACATACATACATACATACATATATATATATATATATATATAGATATATGTGTGTGTATGTATGTATATATATATATCTGTGTGTGTGTGTATGTATGTATGTACATGTTCCAACCGATGGATCAAGTGGTCAAGTGGGCCCAAATGAACTAGCCATGTGTTTGTTACAATTGTAGTTTTCCAACCTAGCTTTCTAGGAATTTTGTTACCGAATTTTGTTCTGTTAACATCCCCCCATCAAGTTGGGCATTAAGGGAACGAATACCCAACTTGCCAAGTAGATAATGAAATCGTTCAGCTCCTAAGGCTTTGGTGAACAAGTCAGCCAACTACTCCACTATTGGAAGATGAGAGTTCTTGATGATCTTTGAACATGTTCACGCAGGAAGTGACAATCAATGGCCATATGCTTCGTTCGTTCATGAAAGACTGAATTTGCTGCTATGTGAAGGGCCGCTTGATTATCGTAATAAAGCAATAAAGGTTGAGCGACAGGAATGCTGATATCCGTGAGGAGGCGTTTGAGCCAGAGTAATTCTGTGGTGGTGGATGCCATTACATGATACTCTACCTTGGCGGATGAGCGGGCTACAATGTTCTTTTTCTTTGTCTTCCAAGATACAAGTGAATTATCGAAATAAATCACATACCCCCTGTTGTGGATCGTCAAAGATTGGGAAACTACCCTAGTTGGCATCACAATATGCTCGAACACTAAAGTCATTTGATGAAGGTAAGAGAATGCCTTTGTGTGGAAAATCATAGAGATATCTAAGGATATGTAAGGCTGCAAACATGTGGGCTTTAGTTGGATGCTGCATATGTTGACTGAGGGCGTGAACAGAGTAACAAAGCTCTGGTCGCGTAATRGTTAAGTACACTAGTCGGCTAATGAGACAGCGGAAGCGACTAAGGTCTAGAAGTAAGGGACTTTGTTTGTCAAACCGTAGTTGTTGTTCCATTGGAAATGATGTTGGGTGACAATTAGTCATATTGGCTTCATGCAGTATGTCAAGTAGATACTTCCATTGATGTAAAAAGATCCCAGAGGAAGAGCGGTGAACCTCAATCCCCAAGAAATAAGTGAGCCATCCCAAATCTTTGAGACAGAAGCACTTGTTCAGATATTGCTTTAGATCATTAATTTGATCGAGATTGCTGCCAGTGGTGATCAGATCATCAACGTAAACAAGTACGGCAATGTATGAACCCAAATTGGAGGAAAAGAAAAGTGAATAGTCATTTAATGACTAAGTGAGCTCGTACTGCTTGAGGGCATCTGAAAATTTCTCAAACCATTGTCGAGAGGCTTGCATAGACCATAAAGGGATTTGTTTAGTTTACACACTCGGTCGTCACCTGGATTAAAAAATCCTGGTAAAATATCCATATAGACTTCCTATGGAGATCTCCATTCAGGAAAGCACTATTAACATGAAGTTGGTGAAGGGTCCATCCCCGACTGGCAGCAACTGAAAAAAGGCACTTGACAGTAACTAGTTTGGCCATCGGTGCGTATGTGTCATGGAAGTCCAAGCCCTCAACCTGAGTGTGTCCCTTAGCCACAAGTCTCGCCTTATAACGCTCAAGTATTCCATCAGCTCGATACTTAATTTTGTACACCCATCGTGTACCAATGGCTCATTTTCCTAACAAAAGCTCAACAAGAGTCCATGTGTTATTTTGTTTTAATGTTGCAAGTTCATCTTCCATAGCTTGTCAGCCGCCACCGTGGATCAAGAACTGCTTGTTTGTATGTGTGTGGCTTACTTGGGGTGTCCACGTGATGAAGAAAACTAGTTGAGTGTCTAGAGAACTAACAATCATAATCCCGTAAGTATGCTGCAGTTTTTCATTGATGATGAGGTCGAGTCATATTAGTTATGTCAGAGTTGTTTAGGTTAGGGAAACCAGATCAAACTAGACTGAGTCATTCTGAGTCGGGCTGGGCTGAACGGTTTGCTCACTATGTGGAAGACAATCAATGTTGTTAGAAGTGGGTAATGGTATAACTGGACCTTGATTTGTGGCATGTGTTGACTCATTCAGCATGAATGGGAAATGATCTTCATAGAAGACGACATCTCGTGAGGTGAAGATTTATCGAGAATCCAGATCAAGGATTTTGTAAGCCTTTTGCCCAAATGGGTATCTGACAAATACTCCTTTGATTGCTAGAGCAGTAAATTTATTGCGTGTACAACTATGGTTTTTAGAATAAACCAAATAGCTGAATACGCAAATATGGTCATATGACAGTGGTCGATTGAACAAGAATTCAAAGGGAGTCTTCCCACCAAGTACTTGAGTTGGGAGATAGTTGATTAAATACGCTGTCGTGATCATGCATTCTCCCCAAAAGGAAAGAGGCATCTCTGCCTAAAAATGAAGTGCTCGGGCTATCTCAAGTAAGTGTTTGTGCTTGCGATCGACCACACCATTTTGTTGCGGTGTGTCAATGCAAGAATGTTGATGAAAAATTCCTTGTTGTGACAAAAAATTCTTCATGGAATGTGAAAAGAATTTCAATCCATTATCCGTCCGCATGACTTGTACAAAACATTGAAATTGTGTTTTTACCATATTGCAGAACTGAGAAAAATAATAAAG